CCCGAACTCGCACTTTCCATGATGAATCAGCCTCTTTACATAGTTGGCTGAGACATTTGTGAATGTTCACATTGACAATCAAAGGAAAAATTCTGATTCTTCAAAAAATTGGGGAGAAAAGTATTTGTGCCAAAAATGTTCACTTTTGAACTCTTGATTAAATAAAATTGTTTTTTTGCGTTAGGGGTACTGCTCCAATTTGGGCGAGAATAAGTCCCTTAGTATTCTTGTTAGAAAAATTTATTGGAAAATTTTGCTCGCATTTTTGGCTGACTCATCAAAGTTGACTGGGGAACCTGTCTTCATTTATATATTCATGTTTTTGCGATGTTTGGTGTTGTTTTCATAAATCCTTCTGTAGAATATTTTAAAGTATGAATCATCGTAGAATTATCATAATACATCGCCTAAACCAAAGGAAAATGGGCTTTACTTTCAAAGAAAAAAGCGTTCTCGCAGCTTTTCAAAATAACCATTTGATGCGTGTTTGAAGAGGAGTTTTTGAAGATCGCTAAAATTTTACAGAAGACGTATAAGAAGTAGGTAAGCGGTCTCGCAGAATAGCCGTAAATAGGAAATGACCTTGAAATGAAAAACTTCCGACGGAAACGTGACATTGTTGTTAACAAAATGTTTACAAACTCTTAAGAAAAGCGCACTCTAAGGTGGTGGCTCTCGAGGGTCTTAGCGTTTTATGTTCTTGAATCGATCGATATCTATGGAATAGCTATGTTTGTCTTGTATTAGGGTTTTTGCCGGGTACTATTATTGAACTTTGTGTTGGGGCTCCACCCCCTGAATCACCCGAACAACCAGATGTGATTCTCATCGAGGGGTGGCCAAGCGGCATTTCTTCTTCACTACCTAGGGCGTACGGTCGCGTCGACGGAGCACCACCCACTTTGTGACGAGAAGGCCGCAATCACGGCCTAGCACACCTAGTGCTCGTCTTCGTCATCTAAGTCAGCTGCACTGGCTGCAACGAAGGGCAGACTTTGAGAAGCTTAGGGCCTATCAGTGTGGAAAACGTGCTACGTGGCTAATTCTCTGCTGAACTTTTTCTAACACGCAAAAGGCTTACAATAATCGCCTTTTGCACACTATCCCATTACGTCTAATAGCGTTTTTACCCCTACCCTCAAAGAATCTTCTGGACCTTAGCCCCCGTTGCGTTTGCCCGAAGAACGTCCACCTAATCGCCTTCATATTCGTCATATTTTACTTACCCACACCCGAAACGACGAGCTCGACTTTTATTATTTACACAAACGTTTTGTTGTGTGTGTATCTGCAAAATCGCGTCACCCACACACGTATTGAATCAGGCACACATTGCAGCACATCACGCACATATAACGTTTTCTGTTCTGCACTCGTTGTGTGCAGTGCCCTGTTGTTCAGAATTCTCTTGCAAAGTGTGAATTTATAACTGTACGTTTTCGTCGGTGGGCGGCTGAATCATCAAACGCACTTTGTTGTCGAGAATTTTGTCGTCTGCTGCTGTGATAAGGGCTCTAGACGCTTCTGAACGTTCATTGTGTTACTACAGTTTTTTTCTGGAAGTTTTCTCGGCAGAGAGAAATTTTTGTACTCACTGGTCTTCTGAAAAGTGTTGAGAGGCCAGCAAGGCGCCTTTTCCTCGAACATCCAATCTGTATTCTGCATAATCTCTGCAGTGTTATTCTCGACACATAATAATTCTGCGAATCGAGCGAAGTCCCTCAATTTGTCGACCGAAGTCTATCCTTGTGCGGAAAAACGAAAAAAACTCGACGAATCTAGATCGTGTCCCCTATTTGGAAAGTGAATTCACTGCCGTTCGAAACTGGCTTCGCTCCCACGAGCCGCCGAAGTCCTTCAAAGTTGAAGTCGCAAACATCATCGAAAGCTTTTTCGGGGAAAATTCAGCACCCCACTGCTTCACCGCCACCGCCGCCGCCAAAGCAGAATCTTAAACCGCCTTCGAAGCGGAACCTTTTACCGCCACCGAAGAAGAACCCTCTACCGCCATCGAAGCAGAACCTCGTACCGCCGCCGAAGCAGAACCCTCTACCGTCACCGAAGCAGAATCCTGTACCGCCATCGAAGAAGAACCTCACTAGAGTAACAAGCATGTCAGCGACGATCGCAAAGCGCATGACTTTGCGATTACGGACGAGATCCACGAGTCGGCATCGAGCTCTGTCATGTATTACACCATCGAATATCAGTCTAGATATTCCGTCACCACCACGGAGCCCTCGTAATGGTACGAATTTTCCGCGTTAAGGTTTTTTAGTCTGCTTAAGTATGAGAAAATTTTACGCTGCTGCGAGTGGCGACTAGTATAGCATGCCATGAAAATGGGCTATAAAAAACGCGCGAATATGAAATTTTATGAGTTTTGTATGACTAGTAGTGTTCTAAAAATAGCTTAGATCGTTTTTACTATTCGGTTTTGGACTTTTTTTTTGTAACTTTCCATCTTGCAGAAAAAAATCCGTTTTTTGGCTAATTCTTGGAAGGAAGAACTAGCTAGTCAGAATTTTTATCAAGCGCCAGCTTTGAAAAATTGCCATAAAAAATTTTATTTAAACTATTATTTGTTATTTTCGTTATTATTTGTGACTTTTTTTGCCAAAATTTCGTGAACTAATTTCAGAATAGTCATTGACATTGTGATATTTATGTTAGCGTAATTGAATACATCTTTTATATTGGCTTGTCTTTTCAATAATTAAATTTTTTCGATTCTTTTTTTCAATAATCTAGTATAACCTTCAAGTTTGGTATCCACATTTCCTCCTTCTCTTAATTGAGACGCATGTGACTTGTGGCATTCCTTGAAGGATTTAAGAATATTTTTTGCTCATAAAGTGCTTCTCCAGTAATTTACTTATTGTGTTCCGCTCTTTTATCTGATTTGTTTAAGTAGAATGAACATATGTCGGTTATAATCTTATTAGTAAAAGCCGCATAAAGGAAAATCTTTTGAGATAAGGGTCATATGAAGCAAAATCCGTACAGTCCATTCTGCCCATTTGATTTTGCAGTCTTTCGCCGATGATTTTCAATAATTCATTTTGCTTCTTTGATTAACTGCGAAGTTTTTTGTAAAATCTAGAATTATCCTTCCGTTTCTCTGCAAGACCATAATATCTTTTGATGCTTTTTGGAATGTCTTATGACCTCGATCTTCCAGTCAGACTATAATTTTCTTAGAAGGCCCATCATCTCATTTTGATTATTATGTGAATCATGCGAACCAGTTTTATAAGATTGACGCTGAGGTAATAATATTCATGCCTCCGATCTTACTTGCAAGACTAGAATGAAGCAAAGTTTTAATTTTTCAATTCCAAATCGAATAAGAGCTCTTATCTAGGCAATTTAGATTACTGTTTTTCAGAGCAACGATTGTAAAGTGAATTGGTTCCAATAAATTAGGTTCTGAGAATAAGAAAAGAAGAAAGTTAATTTTTGTGAAGGTTTTTGAAAAAATGGAGGAAGGGATTTGTGGGTCTCCAAAATGGAAGACAGTTTGAATACTTGCAAGTGACTATTTTCAGTTTTTAACCTTCAGTGTTTTTGTAATAATAAAAGAGAAAATTATAAGTGATATTTCTCACTCAGTTTCGTTCTTTCCCGTAGACGGAGTTACTTGTTAAGTCTTCCCCGGAACTCCTCAGTAAAGAAGAAAGACTAAGATCAAGTAAAAAGTTGAAATTTAGAAATCTTTGTACTAAAGTGGTAAATAGGTTCTAAAAAAGCGTGCTTATTTTTTAATTTGTTTTTTTTTCGATTATTTTCGAAAGTTCACTTAGGAGCCTCAATCAAAATATTTTCCGTCTAATGTTTGTGAAGTTTCTTATCGTATAAGAAGTAGCACCGAATAATGTCTAGAATTTGCCACGAGATAAGAAGCTATGATCGCAATCCGATTATTGAAAGGCAGGGCGTCTTGTCGTCGAAAGATTCGAGGTTATTTTTCATCCCAGTATTGTAAAGTACAGTATTTTAGGGCTAGATTTTGCTGTAATGCAGAATAGTTCGGTTCTAATACTACTTGAGACTGAAAGCTGTAGTTGATTAGTTTTGCAGTTACTACAGCTGTCAAAAATATAATACCACCGCCATATATACAAAAAAATAGTGTAAACATCTTAGAAAGTGGCAACAAAGAAATTGAGTGGGCATCAACTTGGTGTAAGCAGCTGTTTATATTATAGTTTTTGGTAAATTATACTATTATGGAATCGTACGTTGCTGCTGAATTCGAGCGCGTTTACTGGAAATATGTTTTGTTTTTTTTCAGATGGCTGAACAAGAACTTTTGCGTTGTATGCGAATCGCACATCTCAGAAATCTCAAATATCGTTTTGAACAGAAAGGTTTAGTTGATTCGAATGAAATTTTACTAGGATATCAAGTGTTGATGGTAAATTATAGGTTGAATACTTACAAATGACCGGAACTTCCGCAGACCGCTTGCGGAAGTTCCGCCGGGTCACCTGCGGAAGTTCCATAAACGTGTTCCGGAAGTTCCGAAGAATGCCAAGCACAACAGCAAAAGAGAACACCAAAGCGAGACTTGAACCTCACTCTGTTGACTGTGAGACCTACCTACTATCCTCTACGCTACGGCTGACATGTTCGATAATGCACTCTAGTTGTTGGCGTGGCAACATCACGAGACAACACATTCAAAGTGCTGCGGAACCTCTGGCATTTTTCGGAATTTCCGCAGGGTTTTGAAGAAGGTTCTGTGGAAGTTCCGGTTTTTAACTAGTTTGGCATGAAGATCCCGCGGAATTTCCGATTTTCAATGTTTCCATTTTTGCAATAGTGAACGAAATCCTGCGGAACTTCTGCAAATTTGGCTTGTTTTGTCCTGCGGAAGTTCCGGTGATTTGTCTGAGTAGCTGAGAAGCTACGTAAACGGGAAAGTTCCCCAGAAATAAGAAAGAGTCATTGGAAGAAAATGTTTAGTGATTTTTCGGTCTATAGTTTGTTTTTTTCAGAGTCCGACTACTTACTAGCCGAAGCATCATTAGCAAAACCGCGTTGTGCAAGTGTCGCAGCACATGAGCAGTTAGCTGCCCGTGCTACAAATCTTTTTAAGCCCGGTTAGCAATAACTTTTTTGAATTTGAATTTTATTTTTATTCTTACTAGTTTTACTTCATTTCTTCACTATTAATTCACTTACATCTTTTCAACCAGTTTTTGGAAGACTTACTGTTTTATATTAGGTTGTCCCAAAAGTAAACCCATTTTCAAAATAAACCAATCTGTTTTGTTTTCCTAGCAGACTTAGGACACTATTTGAGAGCGAGGCAAGCTGTATAAAATGACCATCAAAGATCATCCCCGTTAGTTGTAAACCGGTTAAATTTTTGAGTTAAAATCAAAAAAATATTACCAGAAAATTTGATTTTTGCATGAAAAAAACCATACGGAACTCAAACTTGGTCATTATACAGTAGACAACAGTGGTGCTCAAATGTGCTTTTACTGGATTTCTTTTCGCTTAGAAGCGAGAAAAAATAGTCCAAAAATGGCAGACTCCGCCCCCTCCCCACCCACGCATGTCATTGTATATTACAAGCTTCAGTAAGTATAGCCATAAAACTTTCACTCCGCTTGTGCTTTGGTAGCCCAGAAATAGCGAGCTTAACAGAAACCCAAAAGTGACATTTTTGCATTTTCGTGCATTTTAATTTCGTAATTTTAAGCCCCGGAAAAATTCGCAAATATATTTTTGGGTACTACTGTGTGTCTACTGTATATGGAAGGAGATCCGAGTGCCTAAAAAGTGAAAAATTCTGAGGGTGCCTGAAAAATTTTGTTTTTTGGCACGCTTGCTTTACTCTTTCAAATAGTACTTTAAGTCTTCTATGAAGACAAAAACAGCTTCACTTATCTCAGGAAGGAATTTACTTTTGGGACAAAATAGTACATTTTTTGAATTGCTCTTTTCACCCATCTTGATTTGTCAAGTAATCGATTTTCTTGGTGAATGATTATCGCAACTTTTTTTTAACTCTCTTACTCATTGAAATGTGCTTTCGCATAATCGCTTTCATTGTTGAATCAGCCTACATTGTTCTTCCCGTTTCATCACCCAAAATTTCTACATCACTCCAATTTTTAGCTCAACCTTGTATGGGCCGTGCGATGCGTGTGGTTGTTGTAGGCGGCAAACGTGTCGGTAAAACGGCTATACTTAGACAAGTAGCATGCTTTGAGGATATCACGTCCAAGGTTTGTGATTTTGTGGACGAGTTTTCCGTGTCTCCTTTTCGATTTTTTATCGTTTTGCTGTGCTAGTTCAACCTCATCCACAGTGGGGTTTTGGACCATTTTGTTCTGAAGTCACTTAACCAACGATTTTCATTTTTGTGGTAATTTTCCTGGCTTTTTCTCAATTTTGACTGCGACCATCGCTTCTTCGACTGTTGCCAGTAGAGAAACACAGATTTCCTTTCTCGTTTGAAAGAAGTGTTGAATTAGGAGCCATTAATCGATGATGAGTCACATCAGGCGCTAAACACACTTTGCTAAAGGGTCTTAGTGTCCTTTGATTAGGGGAAATTTCCCTGCGCTAAAAATGTAAAGCGTTGCTTTTCTTTCTTTCGCAATTGCTTTCGGACAATTCTTAAGTGTTTGTGGAACGTTTTTTTTTTTTGAGGTAGGGAGTGAGAGAAGTGACTGATGAACCGTTTTGGATGAGTGGAACACCTTTTTTTTGGGGGAGGGGAGGGGGGGGGGGGAGCAATATACTCGTATGTCGAAGTGCATACGAAAATTGGTTAGGGGTAATTTATGGGAGCTGTCGCTTACCCCTATTGTATCGAAATCCTAGCACACGTTGGGACAATTGGCGCGAGAACTGGATCTCACTAGCTGCGGGGACCAGTTCTCGCAAGCTCAAATTTGCAGCAAACACTACGTTATAATGAGGTAAAAATGTTTTTTTGTGATACTGCGGTATTCAGAGGTACGAACCAACAATCGATGATACCTATCAAGTGTTGTTGGAAGAGGGAGATCGACCTCGAGAAGTACTAATATTCCATGATACTGGAGGTATTTCGGACACCGGTCCAGTAGAATTGAAAAGACCATATTTGCAAGTAAGTAATTTGGCTTCTGGCTCATGTTCACCCTTCAATCGATAAAATCAAGTGAAATTTCTTCATGCAAGCCATCAATCGATACTTCTCCTTTTTCGATTTCATTCTATTCTTGAAATTTGTGAATTTTTGATATTGGAAATTGTTTTGAAAAAACTGCGCTCATCTCTGACATCTGCGAAAAAGATTGAATATTTTTGAATCAAAAATTGTTTTGTGTCAGCAGCTTATGTTAAACAACCCATCTCCTATGTGTAATCCTTAGATTAATGTCCACAGAAAATATTGCCGTTTACAATATATGTTTTTGTTTTTTCAGGTAGCCGACGCATTTGTGTTGGTATATTCTGTGGCAGATCATGAATCATTTAACAGGATAGATCTGTTGAAAAAATTCATAGAAAAACAATTCGGGAAAGATCGAAAGGAGGTGAGGGTCATAATTCTTATCTTGTCTTTTGCTCATGACTCTTATCTTGTCTCTTAAGAGGTTTTGTGACTCAAGTCATAATCCTTCTTATTTTTGGACTGTTTTCGTTTTGTTATTTCCTTCCATCTTTTTATCTTTGCGTTCAACCCAGTATCATATTCATCCAATTGAATGACAATAGCAACCAGTCTGCTATCTACACTTGATTGGGTGACCAGTAATACGATGTAAATGTCATAAATTATTGTTTTCATTGCCAGTTCGATAAGTCTTCATCCAAATTGAAATGACACTTCGCTCCAATATGTGTTAGTAGGGGAATGTTTCCCTACTGTGACGCGCTAAAATTGCGTCGGTGATTATCCTGCATTACATACGTGGAATGGGATAGGAAATATGATCCACGAATTTGATTGTTTTTGATTTTTGTGTATAATTAGCCTCTTACAATATGTAACAGTGGTGCTGACAGGGTATTGTGAAGCGTATGTTCCATGGGAAGGAACAGGTAATGCTGCAAATAACGCTTCTTTTTGAGCCAGTTGAAGGCAGCGTCCAGGCGAATCTGGATTTATGGGAATTTTATGTGGAAAGGAATTTTGGGGCCTTAAATAAGGCACTGCCCAACCGGCAGCTCAGGTAGTGCTCTAACGGCTGAGATATTCCCCTCGAAACTGGACCCCAGGATCGTATTTCGCATGAATTCATGGCGCAAAGCTTGGGTCCTGCGCGAAATTGATGCGTCGCGCCATGAATCCATGTGAAATGCGGTCTTGGGGTCCAGTTTCGGGGGAATAATCCAGCCGTTAGAGCACTACCTGAGCTGCCGGTTGGGCAGTGCCTTAGTTAAAGCCCCGAAATTACTATCCACATAAGATGTCCATATGTCCAGATTTGCCTGGACGCTGCCTTTAAGCTTACATAACGCTAAATTTTGAGTCATTGAAGCGAGTTTATCATTTTTTGCATCTACTTGGCTGAAACAGTTTTTCATAAATTGAGAAAATTATCGAACATAAAAGCCTCTTCAGCCTCATTTATGCTCAGTTTCTACCTCTATTTTGCTTCTTCAAGGATGTTTTTTTTCGGTTTTTGCTTGCATTTATCTTGACGAAGAAATTGGAAATGTAACTTACTTTTCAGGTACCAATCGTTGCACTGGGAAATATGCGAGATTTACCGCATCGAAAAGTCGATAGCGATTTTGCGTACAGTTGGGCAGCTCGAGAACGAGGTTAGTGCATGATTCTACCATTTTTTTAAGATAATTTATTCATTTACGACTTTTTTATTTACTGTTTGTTTTTTACGATGAGAAATTTATTCTTCGAAATTAGTATCGTTGAAGTAAAATGTTCTTTATGAGAGGAGTCTTGCGTTCCAAATTTGCTTACGCAAGTTCTTTGTTTACCCCGTAGTTGTCTCCCATTATCGCATCAATTATACACCTTCCATTACAAGAAGCTTCCCACTAATTTGCGGGAACCTGTTTTTTGGAGGCTTTTAGTGCCGCTCTTCACACTTGATGAGTTTCTCGACCAAGAATTCTGAGTGATTGCGAAGGGAGGGGGGTACATACATTCATATATGGCTGTACAATTTATATTCATTTGACTAGTCACTTGGTGCAATTGCACAGAAAGTACCGTCATCGATATATGTGCCAAATTTTCCTGAGTAATTCATATTCGAGTCGTTTCTTCATCGAAACTGTCGTCTTTGGTTCTAAGCCTTGCTAAATATTTGTATCAACGACTTCAGTCGAACATGCAAATGAAGGCTAGTTTCGAAGGAAGGCGTGCGGTTTATAGTCGCGAAGCATGTGCACACGCGGCAGCCAAGCACAGCTATCATCGCTAGAGCGCATTTGTGCACGTAATAGAGGCAAGCTCATTCGCCGCATTCGCGTTGCGTAACATGAACATCCGCCTTGTTCGGGACTAGCCTTCATATGTGTAGTGCATTCACACCAAACGACACATGATTCTACGTCGACTTTTAATCATCTAGATATACGTTGCTTATCCGTAACTATGAGTGAATATTGTAACAAAAGGTTTGTAGCAAATACAAATTATCAATCAGAAAGTCCAATTTGATAATTTGTTGGTTTTCTATTTTTATTTTTTTAGTGAAGCTGTACGAAGTTTCGGCAAAAGATCGAAATACGTTAGTGGATTTTGTACAGTATTTGGGTCAGCGACATTTCCATCCTATTAGTGAGTTTTCTCGTAAATTCTTGGTTTTCCAAAGCTTATGGCTCATGTGCTTACTTTCAGAGGAATCGAAATTCTCATTGTCGAAGAAGTTGAAATCTGAAAAGTCGAATGCTGCCATATTGATGGACTTATAAAGCAGAGCTTGTTCATCTAGTTTTTTCCAAACCCTTTACACCCATCCCTATCTCCCTATCTCCCTCCCTCCCATACCCTACACACACATTCTGTTACAAAACTTGTCCACTATCGTGCCGTACACGTTATTGATGTTTATTGATTTATTGATTGTTCTTCCGTCGAATTTATCCCGTTTATACAGGTATTTCTCATGTCGATCAGGTCACCTGCATGCTTTGACACTTGGCTGTGTCTGCTCTCTAAAACTTTACAAACATTCGGTAATTTTTTGCCAAAAAAGCTTTTTGATATCTCTCTCCCCACAGTCGAAGTCTCAGTTGTTTTTCTGCAAGAAAAAGAGCGTGTCTATCTTCCTATGATGTGATATTTTTTCATTGTTTTTTTTTTGTTTTTTTGGGCTCGTAAATAAAATGTTATAACACGAAATTTATGAAGTATCAGAACGGATTGCCTTCGCGAATATTATGATTTGCTTGCCACATAATAATTTTTTGGCGGTGTTCCAAGAATTTGAGTACAGGGCGCGCATACATAACTTCAAAGAGTAACATATCATATTGAATGTAGTGGGTCGGAAAATTTTTGTCCCTAGATGTTTTGCTATTTCTGGAGTGCTCACCAGTCCACAATAATGGTTCACTTGGAGAAGACGTCGGAAAGTCTTTTCATCCCTTTTTGGAGTGGGTGTGGCGCGAGCGGCCAATCAGCTAATTGCTTTACAGATAGGCTAAGTATCGACTATACTGAAGGGAAAGGCGATTGGCTGAGATTCCATATAGGTTTTTAAAGGCCGGGAAAGCTACAGGCAATTTACCACCCTCCTAGAAATCCCCCTTTCCCTCCTCCTCTTTCCATTCTTCCCATTTCCTTCCCCCCCCCCCCCCTCTTAAACCCGCAGTACAAAATATATACCTCACTGCTGACCAAATACAGAAATTTTCGAAGAATTTAGCATTTGTTGGCAGATACTGCCTCGTAGTCTCAGCTTTCGGTTTTTACTAACAAGGGAAGGTATATGACTCGCAGTGGCGTTTCTCTATGAGATGTATATCAGTTAAAAGGTCTCTAAGCGCTGATCTCAAAACAAGCTTCCATATCTGCTTATCGGCTTACTGAACAAAGTTACAGGCATTTGTTTGGCCTCAAATGACACTGATTTTGGTTGCTCATTGCAGGACTAAGGCGGCAGAGTAGCTCTAAAACTAATCCCATCAATTTTTTTATGCAAAATAAATATATTTCGGACATTTGGGCATGTTAGTTTGGACCAAATTCGCATTTACTACGAATTTAGGTCATTTACAAAGTACCCGACCATGCAAATTGGACGCGGAAAATTGCCTCCAACTTTGTTCACTAAACCGATAAGCAGATATGGAAGGTTGTTTTGAAAACAGCGTTCAAAAACCTTTCGAGTGATATACACCTCACAGAGAAACTCCAGTGCAAGTTATATAACTTCCCTGTTAAGCAAAAACTAAGCTAGTAAGCCCATTTTCGGCTAATGCGCTTGCGCCGCGGCTTATTTTTTGTGTTTGAGAGACAAAAACACTAAGCAAGCCATTACAGACTCCGTCAGTATTGCAAAACGGAGAAAAACTCATCCTGAATAGTCCTTCTTGCCTTCCATCCAGTAACAGTTAGCAGAACATCCAGTGATTTATTGGTTGGCAGGTTTCTCTTTTTGTTCTCCGCTAACGTCTCACTTGGTGTGATGTTCCTTCTTTACGACCATAACGCGTCTGCACTGCTAGACACATCTTCACAGCTACTTTGTTATGACTTTGATTCTAAGGCTTCAAAAAATTGCAGAGTATCTCTTAAATCTTCCTATTCCTGTGTTTCCGTTGATTTTTACAATAATCTAATAAAAGAAACATACCTTTCTTTCTCAGAATTACTTTACTATCAACTATAGAAGCACGAGCGAGACAATCGGGGCTCTGGGAAATATATGAATGGAACTGATATGCGAGGAGAAACTTTTTATGCGCCTGCTCTGATATAACGCATTGCTTCGAGTGGAAGTGCAGCACCCCACTTTCATCACGGACCATACTTCTTTGAATTTCTGATTTTCTTGTTCATGTGGCGTCTGCCAAACCTACAAGTTTCCTCCATCCTCTCCGCCTAAGGCCCTAGGTATACCTCTTGCAATTTCAGTCGCCACACGATTTGGCCATTTGCCAGATCTCTTCAAGCCCAACACTCGCAGACCACAAATGCACAGCACGTATAACTTCCGCAGGTTGATAAAATGCTCTATCTTCCTATCATTCAGAAACTCCTTACGATGAGTTATGAACAATTGGAGTATCGTCAAATCGCGTCACGACCGAAATCGCGCGAGGTATGTCCAAGGCTTAAGGCCTCGGACAGAGTTCACGCGATTTGATCGTGGCGATTGAATCGCGACAAGACAACTGTTATGAGTTCATTGCATGACGATCAGCTTGCATTTCGGTTGTGATACTTTTCCAGCTCGAAATTTTTGAATGTAAAATGAAAATGAATGAAAATCGCGGCGATTGAATCGCGACGATCAAATCGCGTGAACTGTGTCCGAGGCCTAGGCTTAATGTTCGCTTATAAGATTCTTCCAGCCTGCTTTGTTTTCTTCATTCACCTAATCGTGCCTAGTGGACCTTTTTTGGACTTCTGAAAATTCACTGAATGGTTAGTCTAGTAATGTACTTCTCTTCTACTAGCATGCTTTGACCGCCAGAGTTGTTAAATATGCAGTCACTTTTTCTGACGAGGATTTTCACCAACTCGTACCGTATCATTTTAGACCGAGTCCAATACCTTAATATCTATCGTAGCATTCCATTCTAGGTTTTGACGCCTTGCTATTTGTGCATGCATCTTGTCGTTCTAGAGTCGTTCATGAGCAATGAGCATTTCCACATACTTCAATGAATATGGTCTTTTTGATTTTCGTGCTTTTGGTCCGTGCGATTCCGGTTGTCTGAACTCCCATCTCCATGAACTCCTCATCCCGTTTGCGTTTTTTCCACATCGGCACATTATCTCGAGTTCTTTGATGTTCCTTGCCGTCAAGATCGCATCATGCGATGAAATGCAGTAAAGTTGATTGGATTCTAGCGAATGTACAATCTCAGAAAAATGTTCTTTCGAAGTGCCTATACCGAACACCTCCAACTCTGAAGATGCAGCATGTGGTTCATATTTTCGTTCCTTACCTATTTTCATCGTTTGGCGGCACTAGTAATGTCAGCTGTAATTCATAATTCTGGCTTCCGCTCAGGTTGTATATTCCTTTAATTGCTTAGCAAACTTCCCAGTATTTTCGATAGTTCTCACTATGTGGCTCAAAAGATGGATTGGGCTTTACACAGAACATTTAGTCGCCTTTGTTCTTTTTTACTGGGATTATATGCTGTGCCAAAAGCTAGTATTCTCAAAGTTCGACGCCTAGGAGGAAGTTTGTCAACATGATATAGCCTCCTTTCCAGAAAAAAGCTGAAATGTTGTCTGGATCTATTGCCTTGGTTTTTTGTTTTCGTTATAGCAATGAGAGCTTCCTCTTTCGTGATATGGTCGGTATTGGCTCATGCGCTATCAATGCCAGTTTTTCAATATGCGGACCGTTTTCACTTATTTCCTGGTCCTTCTCTGAATTTTCCAGCTTTTTTTTCCAGAATATGATAGAAGCCATCCGCACCTATTGTAGTCCTTGCCCTTTCCACGATTTTGTAGGAGCCTCGCTTTCGTGAGTATATCGTTCCCTACTTAGTTCTTAGATATGATTCTTTTGCGCATCTGATTGGGACAGACTGTACAGTAATTTTCAACCTTGTTCAGGTGGAAACTGGACTGGGGACGTCTGCCTTGCAACGATTCGCGCTGTTTCGTGGCTAAAGTAGTCCCTCAAAGTCGTTCCCTTAATATGAAATCAACTTGGCTCTCTTTCGATCATTTTGACATGTCAACTTCGAATAAGCGCCTTAAATTTGCTAGAACTAACGTTATAGACGATCGAAAGGCAGCCACGTTGATGGTTCATATGGGAGCAACTTTAAGGAATGCACGATATATCGTGCTAAGGGCCTTATCTGCTCTCTTCATTCTCCTCATTCTTTGCTTAGCAAAATGCCAGCGTGTGCGCTCGCAAAGCCTCCAGCGATGCGGACGCGAGCGCTGCTCCATGCGGATCGCCTACTCCGTCTCATCTCAACTTAATTAGTGATTTACGCATTAGAGCGAATGTGCAAGAGTGTCTCCAACTCATATGGAATCTATTGACTTATTGACGGACTTGGCACGGGAATGAATTCTGCCAATCTGGGCCACCTTTGCAGATAAATGATTTTTTTTTGCGATGTTGTTGCATGTCGTTCGAAGATCAGCAGTCCGCGGAGGCAGCCCGAAATGGCGCTGAGTTCGTTCCCCTACCTACCTATTTCTAGAAAGATGAGTCAAGAAGATCTATATCATATGAAAAATTCGGAGGTTTATAAGGGTGTATGCCCTTCTGAACCGCTTCGTTCTAGCGCTAATTACTCTGCCCGGGCGGCGCTAATTACTTCGCCTTTCTTAAATCTATCAAATATTTCTGAGCATTTCAAAGCAAGCAAGGCACACGAATAATGATAGTGACGATGTTTGAATTATGAAGACAGAAAGTTTGAAAAATTGCGTGTTTTTTTACTGGCTTTCGTGATTTCTTGCCACTCCCACTTTTCAAAACACCATGAAGTCTGCACGTGTAAGCTAAAGAATTTACCTAACAAGGAAAGGATACTAGGTGACCGTGGCTTTCTGAAATGAAATGTACACCATCAAATGCACCTTGAAGCGCTGATTCCAAATCTGTTTTCATTATCTGCTGTGCGCTCTTCCGAAAGAAGTTATGAACATTTTTTGTCGCCAAAATTTGCACTGTTTTTGATGCAGGGTTCAACGATATTGTTAGAATGTTCGCTCACACACTATAAAAGAGCGTACAGATAGAGTAAAGCTTCATGTTAAGCTCAGGAAAACTGTCACCTATACATCAGAGTCTAAAAAGCCTGGTTACTGACGATTTTGAGTACTTAGATCTCGCAAAATCAATACGAAAAAAGTCCATAACTTCGTTCACGGAGTCGCACAGCAGATAATGAACATGGATTCAGAATCAGCGTTCCAAGACGCAACTACTGGTATACATCTCATTGCAAAAGGCCACGGTCACCAAGTATCCTTCCCTCGTAAGCCGCCCACGTACAACATTTTTGAGTTTCATGGGAAACTCGAAATCTTGTTTAATTCTTCATCATGAGAATGCCTTTGCAGTCCACTTCAGATGTCTCTAACATCATCATATCTCTCGCCTACCCAGGCCCCGCGGCAGCGCCGACTCAGAGGTGCGCAGTAATTAGGCTGCTAATATCTCCTCCATGACGAGGGCGGTCGCCCAAATAGGTTGAGAGCATGCAAGGCTGACGCGCACGCGGCGCGCGGGCAGTTGTCAACCACGGGTCGCGCGCACGCTCGCGTGGATGATCGCTGACCGAGCGTGGGCGCGCCCTGTGGTTGACAACTGCTCGCGCGCCGAAGCATTACATGCTTTCAACCTATTTGGGCGACCGCCTTGGTCTTGGAGCACATCATAAAGCTAGCGGCTCAGAATGGCCGTCTCCCGGTTTTTAATAGTGTTTGCACATCATAAAGCTAGCGGCTCAGAATGGCCGTCTCCCGGTTTTTAATAGTGTTGGTCCCGAAGCGGCAGCATTACTGTATACGTGTGAGCTCCACTCTTTTCTAGGAATGGTAAAGGAAGCATTATCTCTGAAGTGTTGCCAGCACTCATGATATAAAAACGTTAAAGCACTCATAAGAGGCTTTGAGAACAGGGAAAGCGAACATGGACACGCAAAATTAGAAACAAAGTAGTTCTGACGGGGGCATACTGCATCACAGAAATCTGCAGCTGAATAGTTGTGCATTTGCACCAAATGAGTTACACTGACGTCAACTATATATTGAGGCTTGCGTTTTGTGTAGATTTCGACCCTCTGGCTGCATTCAGTGGATTTTTTGCTCTTTATTGTCGCTTGTCACCTTTCTATAGAGCAATATGGGGTTTTATCGAGGCATTTTCATGGTTTGCTTTCGCAAAATACTTTCGCAAACAATCTTTGAAGCAAATAAAAGGCAGAAAAAGCATTTCAGCTTTTGCGAATATTCTGGTATGCATCATTTCTGCCTTTTACATTTTTCAAACTTTCAGGACGATGAATCTCGGAGACGTGGTGCGCCTCAAAGGTTGTATTCTGAAAGGACGTAGTCTGGAAACGTCATGTGGTTGTTCAGCTTTGGATGCACTGCTTGGTGGAGGTTTAGCCTTATCAACCTTTTGTATCATCGATGAGCTGAAGTCGAGGGCCTATGCGGATTCGCTGGCTCGTTACTTTATTGCCGAAGGACTTTACAGTGGCCATGATGTGCTTGTCGTGGACCCAATGGGTGAAGATAAGCTTTGGAAGGGAATTCCCACATTGATTGAAGTTCAAACTAAGCCGGATTCATCCGCAGTATCTTCCTCTTCCCGTCGGGAAATGTCAAATCCTCAAGAAGATCTTCGAATAGCGTTCAGATATGCAGCGAAAACTCAGGTGAACTCGTCCATTGGCGATAAGAATCGCTACGACCTTGGAAAGCCGCTTCCCGAAAGTGAATTTGCATCACAAAGATTGACATACGATGGAGAATACAGCTACGAATCGCTATTCAAACATTTATCTACACTTTGCAAAAGTGATGTTTACAGTAAGACTCGCGGTCCCACGAAGAATCTGCTCAGGATCGTCATTGGCCACTTGGGTTCACCGCTTTGGAATGATCCCGCGAACTTCTCGGTTTTTATAATTCGGCTTCGATCTTTGATACGAAACTCTCATGCCATCGTATTTGCCACCGAAGCCAGTGAAACAATGCAAAAACAACTTGCTGACGAGCTTTTTGTCACTTCTGATCTCTACATCCAGCTGCTGGCCATATCTGAAGAAGAACAACGCAAATTGTCCCCGCTGGATAAGTACCACGGTTATCTGAGGATTTTACGATTGCCCAGGATCACCTCTGCCGGAACGCACAGCCCACCTGCAGACTTGGTATTTACCCAGAAGAGGAGTAGCTTTGATGTGTCTATTTTACACTTGCCGCCTGCATTCGGTGATGAGACGCAGAATTCGAAAGGTCCATGTGGGATTGACTTTTGATTGTTTTACTGCTGATCTTATTTGATTGTGATGTTGCTACAGTGTATGTCATTTGTGGACTCCTTTTTCCGAGAGAGCTACCGCATCGCCAGGGCTTTGCGCCGCGTTTGCGGGCATATGGCCTGGGCAGTCAAATTGGTCCCATTGCCACGCGCCATGCTTGATCAACTTGATTTACTTGATACACTTTGCTGTTGGTCAGTTCACTGATTTGGCCAGTAGCGAAATGGATAAGTGGATCAAGTATGGCAGTGCTATTGAGCGGAAGTCGGCGCGCAAGACCCCTCGCGCAGCGGTTGCGCAATCTCAACGAATAAGGGAATACACAATTGACATGATCTGTATCGTGCATTCCCCGAAATTGCTCCCGCGCCAACCATCAACGTGGCTGCCTTTCGATCGTTCTAACACGTTGAGTCCAGTACTCGATGACGTGTTAAAGTGATCGAACGGCAGCCACGTTGATGGTTCATATGGGAACACTCTTGGGGAATTGTACCATATGTGTTTCAGTTGAGTTGAGCCTTGCATAATCTACATCATCATTTTATTACCTCAAAGATGTTTATGCAACCGATTCATCTTTTTTAGCTTATTTCAAATTGTGAATTTTCACTGATGCAGAGCAAAGTTGCAGCTTCACGACTTGATGCTTTTGAGTCACCAAGTGGTCTGAGCGACAGACAGGTACATGCTGCGACTCAAAGGCATCAAGCCGTGCCGCCGCGATTATGCGTTTTCTACTTCCTCGACTAAATTTTTGTGATATTGTCATTCTCTGTGCTTCTCTTGTATTGCAAAAAATTATCAGTTGATTGTCGAAGAGCTAAATTGCGTCTTGCAGAATTCTTTGATTCTGTACTCCACTCATTTTTTCGTTTTCGTCTTCTTAATTCTGTGTTTGCTGTTGCCACTGATTAATGTCGTTGTTGTTGTTGATAATAAAATCTTTAGTTATGCTGAGAGTCTTTCGAAGCAATGGAGTCAAAAAGTTGTCAACCGGAGACCGAAGCTCACAATCAGACGAATGCGAGTGAAAAGCGCGAAAGGTAGGAATGATCTTGGTGATCTTTGTTTTTTCTTCATCGTTTTATAAGATTTTTTTGTTGAAGAAATATTATTTGCTTGATTTGATGTTTCAAACGACTGCTAAACTCTTCGATGATCAATCTTCGATCTGTGAACCTTCATCATAAGAGAGGGAGACAATGCCTAGTTGACTATCAGCTGTTCTCAAGTGTAAAAGGGATGTTTGCAGACAGGTGTCTTATTTCACACAACAAATCTCAGCGATCAGTCATCTTTTCGTTTTGCTGCTTGCCTGCTTTTTCTAATCAAGAAATTTGTATGGTGAAATGAAGTGCAATACTATTGACAGATTCCTCAGTAAATGATTGATTTTTGAACTCTCTTATTATGAATCTATTAACTAAGGTCTTTGCTTCTAAATTTGACGACATCGAATAGAATATGTCCAGATAGCGCTTACGATTCATTGTAAGTGACTTTTGTTTTCTGTTATAGTTTTGTTACCAAGTCCTTTTGCCTTTTAGGCTCTCTTACATTCTGTCAAATCGAATTCTGTAGTCATCTCCTTTGCTAAAATTTTGAGGCTTTCTCGGGATAGCTGATGAGAGGCACCAAGGAAGTTGCACTATCGGTCTTGGTCGCGAAAGCGGAGTGTTAAAAAGGCTTAGAAATTGTGGTGAACTTCTAGTATTTTTTTGTTCATCCATCTGCGGAATACTCACACTTTTTTTACAAGATCTTAAAAAAAATTCTGGGAGGTGTAAGTTCTCATGAATGTCTAGAGTGTAAACTAAACTGGTTTCATCGTATCCGTCGCATCCGCGCGTTCCTTTGGGAAATGTGGTTTACTATAATCCCAATTCATATATGAATCAAAGATCATTTGTTTGAAACTTTCCCATCTCTGCAACTTTTTATGCTAGTTTTACCAAACTTGTTAATTTGCTGCATTACAGAGTTCAAAAGTCTTTACTCTCCCTTGTACTTTTGTGTTCAAGTTAACAAGCGATGTTCAAAATGCGTGACTCATAAATCACTTGACGAGGCAAGCGTAAATGTCCGTCATTGTAATGTGACGTCAGATCTGGCGCCAACGCAAGAAAATTCAAAAATCTGGGTCGTCTTGAACGCGCAGCCGAGCGTTGATTGTTTTCATGACACATTATCTTTGCTCGCTGATTCAGTTCAATACTTATTATGATTTGATCAGAAAGTTTAATTTTACTTTCTCAAAAATATTTGAGTCATCTGCATAAAATTCTGTTTAGAAAGTTGTGTTATCTTTGTGCTTTGCATTTCGTTCCAGAGCATTCCTGCTTATTTTTTGCTTATTCTTTCTTCCCTATCAGTTTATAGTAAGAATTTACAACTGTCGCCAGTTTTGATGGCTTTGTCGGTTATCTTTACGCTGATGTTGTTGTGACTGATAAGGTCCTTTGCGCTTAATCTTTTTGAAACTGGGTTCTGAGCCCATGAAGTTCCAATTCTGCACTTTGGGTCTCCAGTCCTTACTTATCATACTTTAAATAACATCTTTAGTAAATTTAGGCGCATGTCAAAAGAACAACGGCTCAAAAAGAAAGTTATCGTATCACTTGGATCTACTGTACTAAAGAGGGAATGGCCAGAAGCTTTGCGAAACTTTGGCATTAGAATCAGGCCATTTTCATCTGGAACCAAGTATTTAGTGGCAGCTAGTGTGACAGATACATATTATAGGGTAAGTTTTTTTCTTGAAATTCGTATCACCATTATTCTTTTTTCCCAAATACTGTCATGAATTGCATATTTCTATTATTGCGTTTGGTTAATTGCTTTATGAGATTAATGCTTGATGTTGTTCAATCAATTTCATAAAACTTCTTCAAATGTAAAACCAATTTTTCAGTTGAAAAGGTGAATTTCATTTCAGAGAGCCATAGCCTTAGGCATTTTTGTTGTCAAAGAAGAATTCCTTGAACAGTGCGTACAAATTGACTCATTGGAGGACATTGCTGGCTTGGTTTGTTCTTGGATTTCTTTCATCCTAAAGACATAGGTTTCTCCATGTTTCATTTCAGGCGGAATCATGCAAACTTCCTCGTTTTGCCGGTTTAGCGATTAGCTTCTTGGGAATCAACGATGAAACTGTTGAAGACCTTGATAGTGTTGTTCAGGAAAATGGTACTATAATCTTGCTGTCTGTTGGTTCTCCTTCATTTCAAAGAATCATTTTGTGAGTCTCAAGAGTGATCCTTTTTAGGAGGTCATGTTACCACAACCACATCGAGCGCTACACACATCATTGTTGCACCCGATTTGCGACCACCAGCTTCCTGTCAAGGCAAAAATCTTGTCACTATGGAGGTGCAGTGTGAAACGCGTCAGAAGTGACTTTTGAAGTAAGGCTGTATTTGCAGTGGTTTCGAGAAAGTATGGATCTGGGTTGGTGTGCGAATGAAGCTTGTTTCGAACATACATGGAAAGAAGCAACACCTCAAAGAAGGCGAACAAATAGCATATTGCGGTTTCATAAAAGGTTCGCTATCAAGGCTTTTGTTCCTGTTTCCTTTTACTTTCCAACGAGATATCAATTCTTCGCTAGCTTTTTTTGAAAATGTATTTTCGCAAGGAGGACGGCAGAATCGAGTGCCAGGAAGTTCAAACGTTATCAGTTGTGCCTAGACTTGTTCAAGACTGAAATCAACTGCTTAAAGGCTTGTGATTTTCTAGTCAGGGTGAGTAATATGCCGTTATTACAAGTAATATAATATAGCTACTTACGGAGGCAGGAAATCTTTTGGTGTTTTTTTTTTCATTGTTATATGTTCTTTTTCAGCTGTGTGAGGAGAACATTTACGTATCAGCTGAGGCAAATGATGTAATGTTCGGGGTGTTTGGTCCAATGCGGAAGGCACATGATCGAATTGTACAGAAAATGGGTGAAGTATTGGACACGTGGAATGATCAGAGTGCTATAGGAGACGTGAGAAACGATTTTCTTTTTTATTTCAATATTATTAAAAAAATGTTCACAGATTTTTGTTGATGAAGAGGCGTCTTTGACGGAGGCTTACTCGCCGTATTTTCATACGCTTGAAGCATCGCTACAGTACATCAAAGAGAATAGAAAGCATAATGCGAAGTTCAACGCGTTTGTCATCGTACGTTTATGCATCTTATTTTTACCTTGCTGTTTGTTTTTCCCTTTCCGTGTAGTAGAATGTGAAAATTGCTTTTTTGGACTTGTGCTACTCGTTTATGTATGCATAAAACTTATTTTGCTTCTAGGAACGTGAACGCGATCGATCTCTTGGAAAACAGAAGCTCGAATATTTGCTAAACATTCCATTTCAGCAGATCACAAGCAGAATACCTGCTGCTCTGAAAGGTGACTTGCAAGTATAGTCGTATGCGCTTTATTTCCTTCTTAACCTTCGCCTTTTAGAAGTCCAGAAGCTTACCACAACCATCGATCCTGATCATGAACCGCTTGCCAATGCTATAGCGGCAGTTGACCGGATGCTTTTGTGAGTTTATAGCACTTCTAATTTGATGGAATTTATTGTTGATTTGAAGGATTTTCACATATGTTTTAGAACCATAAATGAAAGCAAGCGAATGTGCGCTGAGAGCGAAACGATCTATAAAAAAATCCAGAATTTGCCGGTGCGTACATATTGTGTTTTTGTAGTCATTTTTTATTTTAGACTGGTAAGCATAAGGTCAGGGGTTTACGAATTTGAATTTCCAGAGTCACTTGCTCAAATCACCTAAGCAGTTTGTGTGCGGCATGCAGTTTCTGTCAAATGGCAGTAATCCATGGGCTTTCGTTATAGTTGAACTACTACTTTTCAAAGATTGTCTTGTGGTGGGGGTTCCTTGCAATCTCCTTTTTCTTGCGATTTTCAAAATTCCATGAATTAATCTGCTTTTGATTTCTAGGTAGCAGAGAAAATTGACCCAACGGTCACATGTGGAATCCGCAAAGTTACGAGGACCCTGAGATTTCTTGAATACTGCCATCTTGTTCGCATACGAGGCGCCAGAATCATACAGAACTCAGGTCAATTCATCTCTTTTTGAATTGCTGTTACATACCTTTTTTTACAGATGATGAGAGAATGCTAGTAATTGTTGTACGAAATCCTACAAAGGATGCTGAATGGTATCTTCAGATGATGTATTCCGACGATGTGATCAACGAGTTTGTCATGAAACTGGTTGAGGAGGTAATATTTTATTTGCGTAGTTTTCTCTACTTCAATATTTTTTATCAGGATAAAATGTTTTTGTAGCAGTGGCGTACCCAGGATTTCGGCTCGGGGGGGGGGGGCGCGACAAAAAATTTTTTCGATAAAGGTGCGTGGCACTCCGAACCCCCGGAAAATTTTTTTATATGGCTAAATTGAATTTTTAAAAATTTTTAAAAATTATTTTAATTACTTACAAGTATAAATAAGTCTTTTGCACATTTTTATAACTCAGGTAAGTAACTTTCAAAAATTTCGCGACCCATTCTCGGGCGGGGGAGGGGGGGCGCGCCCGCCCCCCCCCCCCGCCTCCCCCTCTGTACGCCACTGTTTTGTAGTATTCGGAATTCATATCGCAAATGCGTTTTGAGATAAACTAGTAAACTGGAGGTTTTATGACAGGTTATAGCGTTTCGCACTGTATCTCGTGTTTGGACTGTTTGGATGCAATTGCACAATTTGCAGCATCTGCAGAAAGACCGACGATAACATTACATCAAAGTTTGCATACATTGAGTGAACTTAATAAATGTTTGTTTGTGAACTCAGTAAATGCAAATTTTGTTGTGGACTTGTATTGGCGGTTTTTTTCTTTTTTTCTGCAGATGCTGCAAATTGTGCAATTGCATCTACACACGTAGATACGATGAGAAATCCAAGACGAATTTTCTTTCATTGACGGCATGAAGAAAGAAAAACGAGCGCCTCTGTGTTTAATGCTAATTTTCTTTAGGTATTCCTGACAACAGGAAGACGAATTCCAGTGGACATTGGAGGCTCAACAGAATTTGACGAATCTACCTTGAATGAGTAAGCTGATCACTTTTTCTCTATCAAAAGACTACGTATTGTAAAAATTGGTTATTTTTTTTTCAAAACACGCTTTAAAATTTGTTCAGCTCGAGATTCTCTTCCGCTACGTCCAAAGTGTTACGATGGATGTCTTTGCGAAAGACTCGTAAGTCTCGAAGTCGTCTAATCACTACAGCTGTTGACGCGTTTCAGCCACCCACGTAACTTGATTGTGAGTCTTTGGTTGTGGATTTTTCATTTGTTATTATGTGCACAATTTTGTTGGTCCGTTCTTTGCTCATTGTGATAAGCTGGTTGGGATTTTAACTATGTATCATTTTGCCAGTTCCTGCCCTTGATTTACTGGTCTTTTTTTGTTCATATCTCGAGCAATTTGTGAATGTTATCATTCTATGAATATTGAGGATGTAAGGTATTTATCAACCTCCAACAGCATTATGCAAAAATTTTCTCATACGAATAATGTATAGTAGCCATATAGGACATGATAATCATTGACTGTCTATTGATCTGTTCTGTTCGAAATATACCCTTGCGAAATTAGATCTTCATTATGCGCTCAGATGTATTCTGTAAGCAGCTTCCCCTTTTTTGTAATTGTTTGTAAATGTGTCGTCGTACATTTCATATTTACTCTTTTGTATGATTTTTGAAAAAGAGATCAGTGATTCTTCCTTATCTCATATACAAATTCACATTTCTTGACATGCTAATGGGGGAAAATCTTTTGCTATGCAGAAAAAAATTCAAGTTGGTCAGATAGTCTGTCTAGAAGCTTTTATGGTAACGCAAATCTGTGGAGAACATCGGAAGGAAGAAAAAGCATGGTAGGTAATTTCGATTAATCATTTCGATTATTTATTGGGCGCTATTCCACGTTAGTTGACCCAAAAAATGAAAATTGCAAATTTGGCTGAAACTTCGTCTAGGGGGTTATTTTGCACGCCAAGTACGAATACCATATTTATTTCGCTTGGTTTTGCCATCTGATGGAGTTACGGTGGGATTACAGTAGGGGGTCGATATCACGGATTTGCCCCAAATTTCGTCTAGAGGGGTTATTTGGTACGCTGAACATGACTAACACATTTATTTCTTACGGTAGCTCCGTCTTCTGGGTTTCGATGGGCATACGTTAAGTGGCTGAATATTCCGAATTTGCTCAAAACTTTGCATGAGGGGTTCATAAGCATGCTGATCACGACCATCTCCCGTTACCCTCCGTAGTCCTAAAAAATGACCCTATCGTACGAAATGAATATGATATTTATGTTCAGCGCACCAAATAACCCCCTAGACAAAGCCCGGAACAAATCCATGATTTTGACCCCTATCGTAATCCTACCGTAATCCACCAGATGGCACTACCGTCCGAAACAAATGCGATATTCGTAATCAGCGTGCAAAATAAGCCCCTAGACGAGGTTCTAGCAAAGTCCGCGGTTTTCATTTTTTGGGCCAACTAATGTGGTGTAGTACCTACCGAATATTGTTTGTTTATGGACTAGTGAACCAGTATAAAGGTGCCAGATTGCATCTGCGCGCTTAGGGACCACCACGCGGTTTCCCGCTATTTACAGATTTTCGAATTGCGTTTACGTTCCTTTATATGTTAGAATTTTTGGCTTGACCTTCCTCCGCATGTATATATACCGTACATATGCTCTAGCTGTATAAACACATTAGTGGTAGTCTTTATTATTGCCTGCCGCTCGCATTGCGAACGTATTCAGAATTAGAGCGGTCACGCTTCACTTTGCGATTCAAGATAGAAAGTTCTGGAATATGTCCAGAACAAAGTTCAATATATTTGCAAAAACAAACAAACAAATAGGACCTAAACGTACAAATAGATGCTGTTGAGCGCACAACTTCACAACTACCGTATCCGAAATTAAAAGGAGGGGGAAACCTGAACATTTTGTGGACAAGATGTCACAGAGATAGCGAGTTATGTTTGTTTAGTAGCGGAAAAGATGGTGACATGTAAGAACAGCGTATGATGAAGCGAAAGATGAGAAGAAAAAGAGAAAAGAGAGCGGCGGCGAGCGGCGATTTTGTGTGAGAGAAAGTAGAGAAGTACAGCGTAATTTAGAGTAATAGCACAGAAAGAGTCATATCACGGGTGCGCGAAAAACAATGAAACAAATCGACTGAGGAAGTAAACAAAAAATCATAAATAATCATTAAAAAATAATCAACGGGCAACACTAACACACAATAAGGTGGCTGGACGAACCCGTAGATCAAAGCGCCGGTTGGAACACACACACACATGAACAAGAGAATGGGGAAGGGGAGAAACACGCGTTAGAGCGAAGAGCGGGCGAGGGGGCGGAGCGTAAGATGGAGAGTTTCATGAAGGACGAGATGTGAACTATAAACGTAGCGATGCGCGCGATAAATATACAAAACATATGCACACACACAAAATGATACTTACGTATATAGAAAATCTCAAGTGATATATCACACACTGCATCAGCTGTTACTGCATCTGCTGAGTCTGAGGCACTACAAGCGCAGTTATTCGAGACAACGGACATTGTTAGAGACACCTAGACGCGTGACGTCATTGATATTCCGGACCAAAATCCGGAATGCTGACGTCTTTATAGCCTTTCAGCCAATACGTTGTCAGCCGACCTTTGCCTTTCATTTCGACTTCACCTCGAAGTTCTAATCGGAAACCCGTATCCTTGCTTAGAATCTCTTTCGTCACCGATGAGACATGGATTCGCAACGCTGAAATGGGAAGGTGTTTGTGTTAATCTATAATAGATTTCATTATTGCCCACACAAGACTGGAGAGTTTTGAAAAGGTAGAGTATGAAATCAAAATTGGACTCTGTATGCACGAGAGCGAGAACTGGTCCCTAATTCCATGATAGAAAACTTCCCATTGATGTGAACGCAAGATTGATCTGGGATACAACATAGCCTCACGTTTTGAAAAACCGCAAAAAAGTGAAGAAATTGCGAGTTAAACTGAGAGCGAGCCTCGTATAAATTAGCGAGAAGTGTCAGCGAAAAATTCCACAGTCGAGAATTTCGTCACCTATGTAAATAAGCTTAATTTCAAAAAAAAAGTTGCAAAAAACATTTCGAAAATGTCGAGTTTGTGAAGTGAGAGTGGACTTCGTATACATGAACGAGAACTGGTCCCCAAGGATTTTTATGGGGAAAAGTTCGACACAAATGTGAATGATTCAGTGGGGATCCGGGGCACAAAAAAGCTTCTTGATAAAAAAATAAGGAGAAGAAAAACATGCTAGAAAAAAGAAAAAATACTTACGTAATCCGTTACTTTCCATTCGACTTGACGTGTTGACTGTATCGCCGAACAAGCAGTATCGTGGCATTTTTGAGCCGACGACACCAGCGACAACTGATCCCGAATGCATACCGATTCGAAGTTTCAGTTGATCGTTCGGTCGATGTCGTATCACAAAGTTTTTCACTTTGTGTAACAACGCCAAACTCATCTGGGCGATTTGTGAGGCGTGATCTTCCCGCCGTTCGGGAAGACCAGAAACTACCATGTAAGCGTCACCTGGAAAGAATATAGTTAGGAAGGAATATTGATTTGGAAGGTCAATTGACTGTACCTATCGTCTCAACTTTGTACACTTTGAAATTATCAACTACACCATCGAAAGCTAGATATAAATCGTTGAGAAGTGTGACAACCTAAATTGCTTTTTGAGCACAATGAAAGCAAAAAAGAAGAAGCGGTAAAAACAATCGATAAACATGTCTTACCTGCAGTGGTGTTGATTGAGAAGAAAGGGCGGTAAAGCCGACAATGTCGGAAAAGTAGATGGTTACCGAATCGTACGATTCGGCTTGCACCGCTCTACCAGAGATCAGCTAAACAGCAATCAATAAATTAATAAGAAAATGGCGAAATTGTTGAATAACCAGTTAAACAATCAAAAAGTAGTGAGAAAATGTAAAAATGATCCAATCAATGAGGAAATGAAAAAATGAAGGGAATAATCGTTACCTGATCAGCAATCGATGGCGGTAACAGCTGATGAAGGAGATCTTCGACTTTTTGCTTCTCTGCCAAGTACTCTCGAGTTCGTTCCTCGACGAGGCCTTCGAGATTTTTCGCGTATAACTCGAGACGCTTTAACAAGTTATCAACAAGATTTGATGTTTCGTTGTCTCTGAAAAAGGAAAGTTGGAAGGAGTTGAAATTGTGCCCTTGTTTGCGCTTAGTTCCGCCCACTATGCGGCATAGTTGTTTTGCTCGCGGTATTCAGATTCAGAAAGCATACAGAAGTGGATAGTTAAAACGGAAAATTGTGAATATCATACAAAATCATAATTCCATTGAAAAAAAGTGAAAAAACATACTTGTTCAACATGCGCACAGCTTTCCGTATCATTGAGATATCTGGTCGATCATGCGGATCTTCGGCCCATGAACAACGCATCAATTCGAGAAGACTCTAAAACCGATTAAATCAATGTAGTGTCGATTATCAGTCTGTTTACGAAGACGATTACCTGGTTGATTTCATCGTCGGCATCAAGAATATCCGGAACATACGGTCGAAAGACGTCGTCAGGATTTGCTACCGGTTTCTTTACCCGTTGTATTATCTCTGGAAAAGAAGGGGATCATATCAAAACATGTAAAACGGACACTCAAAAGCAAAAATCGCTTTGCCCGAAAAAGCGGGAAGCTCCGCCCACTCCAAAGCCCCGCCCACTCATAAGAAGAAATTACTTACCATAAGGCGATAAATTCTCATTCTTGCACGGAAATGCTCCTTTTCGCCAGAGAACTTCGTGAAGAATAATGGCGAATGAATAAATATCGCCCTTTTGAGTACCCATTGGCGGTGGATTGGGGTTTCGTAACAACTCTGGCGCTGTCCATAGTTGCTCTGAAACGATCAATAAGCATCAAATGCAGTGCAGAATGGAAAAATGATCCTTACTTTTATAAAACGCATGTTCGCCAATGTCATCCATCTTGTTCTCCTCCATTGCATGCAGGCCATGTAGACCAAAGTCGGTTACCTGAACAAATTATATTGGAAGTCAAAAAGAATTCGGGCAGAAAAAATTGAGAAGCTTGAAGATATTTCACAAAAGAAAAGTGATTTTTAGCTCCTGAGAGTTTGGCACTACAAACAGAATTCACAGATTTTAAGGCTTTAGCCAAAAATTTTGTCAATATATATTTTTAGAAATCTATCGAAGATCTGAGAAAACTCACCTTCAACACAAATCGGCTATCGACAACACAATTTGATGATTTCAAGCGACCATGAGATCGAATCTCGCTGTTGTGAAGGAAGTACAAGCCCTGAAATAATCTGAAAAAATTATAGGGGATAAATTATGGCTAAGCCATGTGAAGGGTGGAAAATTGTAGAAAGAAGACCTTCAACTAGAAAAACAAGCTAATAGAGGCAATGAAATACAAAACAATATTCCATGAGATCCGAATGACTACACGTCTTTTCGCGAGTGTTCAGACGGAGAAAAAAACTTCTATAGCACTTTTTGCTTTTTGTAAGAATTTATTGTTTCTTCAGTTAAGAAAATGAGAAATATGGTTAAAACTTCAGTAAGTAGTGGTTTACAATAAAATTCGATACCTTGACCAAATCGTGCAGCAACGAGTACTTCATCATGTTATCGAGCTTGATCTGATCGTTCTCTAGAATGTCTTCAAGCGATCCTTTTGGACAGTACTCGGTTACTATACACCAATTTGGTGCGTCGAGGCATGCACCAGTGAATCTGAATACATTTCTTAGTAGTTTAGCAGGTGTTCATGAAGAAAAACTGCTTCTAAATATGGGAAACGTTGGAGAATTCTTATCAGTCAAAAAAACAGTCATAAAAATGCTCAGATATGTCCAACTCCACGCTGCGGACATAGCACTGGCGGAGAGGGACAATTCTTGTAAATTAAGGAAATACTGCAGTAATCTATCTGAACATTTTTTTGCCTGAAAGTACCGACCTTGTGATGTGATCATGCTGAAGATCTTTCATCTTCTTCAATTCCATTAACTGCGCTCTCGACAAGTCCACTTTGGGATATTTTTTCTGATCGATATTCAGCTTCTTGATCGCTACCATGATACCCTGCAAGATTCATTGGAAAATTCGTTCAGAAAATAATTTGGGAAATTAAATGGCCAGAAATTCAAACAAACCTTATAGAAAGCCGTTTTGGTGTAGATTTGCCCGTTATTCTGAGCTATCGTTTCTCCGGATCCACCGCTCTGAAACAACAAAATGTTAATAATATTAATCCATTTGCATAGTTATCTAAAATTGTTTTCTTGCGAATATTTATACCACAGTAATCATTGCTCCGGATTTTTCAAAGGCTGTGGGAACGGACCAACTTTATAAAAGATGTTTTTTTGAAAATTTCTGCACTTGCCTTGATTGATCCGAACAGCGAAAGCTTTCGATTCCGTAGACTAAGGCTTTTCTTTGCTGCCGCATCGAAATCCTCTTCGTTACTGCTCTTCTTCTTGTAATCTGAAAAATGTTACTATCGTTGAGCGTCAGAAAATGAAATGAATTGCAAGCTCGAGACCAGAATCAATCTTAGCAAAAAATGCATTCCTGAAGCGGCATGAATTTTCACTCGAAAAAAAAAATTCCATCCAAAAGCAATACTCATGCAGATATCTCAATTAGATGACGATTTGAAACATGCTCAGCAAGTTTTTCACTGAAATTTGATACATAATGCTCAACCTCAACAACTTACATATGCAGACTTCTGATTCTATGCTTATAGGCTCTGAGTTAGAGAATTTCTAATGATGAGAAAATTTAATATTGAAAATCAAGTCAAAGAAACGCTAAAATTCTCTGTCGCTCAAAATATGAAAAAAATATGAAAATTATTCAAAGAGTGAGTAAAATCAAAACTATCAATGGAAATATTTTGTGTAAAGAAAGTAATCGTGTTAACACTCACCAGAATCCCCGGATGGTGACGAAATCCTTCGGTCGTTGGGCAGTCGGAATTGCACTTCGTTCATGGGCGAACATTCACCAGACTAAAATCAAAAGCAAGATGTTTGGTCCCAAATACTTCAAACTTCCACATATGGTCACTGTGTAAAGGGCAACTGCATCGAAATGAACATGAAAAGCCTTTACGACAATTCCCTCACCTCAACTTCTTTCAGAGCATGATTTCCCATGATTCCACCATTTTTATCTTGATTTGGTGAGCTTTTCTTTCTCGTAAAGATGCTGAACTTCCGATCGATCATTGCCGAGATTTTCCTCGTTGCACCAGAACTAGACGATCGCTGAAATACCCAAGGTTTGCTAGTCAATTTAAAAGCTTGTAGGGACATTCTTTGGCAGTTGTTTTGCTAAATGCTTGGAATTGCGTTCCATTGTAGTCAGCCGATAATCAGTTATTCAATAAGAACCTAGTGAAACGAAACAGTCAGTGAAAAGACTGCGCCCAGGATGGATTTAGAATCGTTATAGGAAAAGTGTGTTCCTCGCTGAGATGTGGGCACGCTCCGCCCACCTATAGCACGTGTGGGCGGAGTCGTTCCATTGTTCAGTATAAGCGGCTGTTTTTTCGTCAGATGGTCTTACATCGAGCTAAATTTTTCGAGAATGAGTTGCAGAAAAGATTTTACGACAGCCTTTGAGCAAAAAAAAGTTTTGGTCACATTCCATTATAATTTTGTATTATTAGCTATCAGCTGACTAAATGATCTCAGTGCTAGTTTGCGAAAATCGTGCAGATGAACGTGGTTGCTGTTTGACACTACTTTGAGCCAAAGAATCGATTGCCAGTAAGCAAGCGCGCAACACACGCGACGCGGCGGTTGTCATCTTCGCGTAAGTACTTGAAGAAGGTGAGTGGATAGAAAGAAAGCGTGGAAGCTTTAAGCCATGCCAGTGCACACACTACTCGAGCTACTAACAAACAAATATAGAAAATCGATTATTGATTGATTCTGCATGTATGCGCGTCATCGCGCACTTCATGCCGGACATGCACTAAAATCTGAATGGGCTTTATTGGTGCATGAAAATGAAGCCTTGTGGATACTAATGCATAAACTACCGTATGCACGTCTATGCCCATGTGTATACGCAATTGCACCAACACAGCACAATTCGACAAAACACTATCAAATCGATCGATACACATCAAAAACGTACCAAACGCATTCGCATAGCCGTTGGAGCTAACATGTCCTCATCGTACTGAAATTATAGCCGCATGGTACTGGGTGTGATTTTATTTTGAGCATACCACCGACAGGCGCATGGATAGGAGGAGAGGGGGAGGGGGGGGGGGGGTGGGAGGTAGGGAAATTGAGGAGTGCATCGCGTACGAGTTTACACTGTTGCTCTTGTGCGGATGAGTTTTTCATGTAATTGTGGAGGGGTGACTGAGGGATAATGCGATTGCGGAATCACAACTGTTTGATATGAAAGCCTTGAAAAAGGCAAAAAGGCGCGTGCATAAAGACCAGTTTTCGTACATATTTCAAAATCATGCATTGATTTGGAGGGCCAAGCAGGAGTAGGGATGTCCATTTCAAAGCGCAAGCGTGGGAACTCTTTTGTTTGACTTGGTGGGAACTGGAGAATATTTGGTGACTGTATGCAGGTACTCTTTTGTTTCCTGCCAAGCCAGACAAAGTTTTAGATCGAAGAAGACCAGTGCTCGCAATTTTTCAACGCTGGGGACCAGTTCTCGTGACTTTATACGATGGGGACCAGTTCTCGTCCTGCCAAAAACATAAAAAAATAGGACAGTTTATGTCGTTTGATGATTGTATGCAAGTACTCTCCATAGCCAATGCCAGATACCCAGATTTTTAACTCAAGAAAGACCAGTTCTCGCGATTTATCAAGTTGGGGACCACTTTTCGCAATTTTTTCATGGAGACCACTTCTCATTTTGCTGAAGATATAGAAGAAGAGGACAGTTTATGTTACGCAATAGCTGCATGAAATTCCCAAGGACAGCGTAGAGCATTCAGAGAAGTAAGCGCTTTACAATTCCGCCACTCTATGCCAAACCCGAACATGCAGCCAGAAACTGCAGAGCATAGCAAGCCACAAAGGGGTTCTCAAAAAAGCGTACCTTCATCCCTATCCTCACGCAGCATGGAAAACACTGCAAAAAAATCAATTTTCAAAATTCATTCTTATTGCTAACTCCAAACTTTGCATTCATGCCACCAAAATGAGACATTCCTTAGCCAAGCAGAATTTGAAACTTTTTTGTTTGGAAAAATTTCTACTCAGGACCACGTCTCCGTCTCTACCCTTCATCCTTGTTTCAGGACTCTGCGGCTACTGAAAGACGAACTCTGCATCTCTGACTCTAACGTGAGGTCGTCTCAAAATGAAAGATTTAGAGCATTGTTCTTGCTTCTATGATCCTGTGTCATCAACTACTTTTTATCAATATCCATTTTGGAAGCTTTGAAAATTTTTGCGGTAGGAAAGCAGCCCAAAGGAAAAGAATAGCCACAGTCATTCTCACGATATTGACAAAAACTCAAGAACCAAGTCAAAATACAATCGAAAAATAAAGTCCACAAAACTCGACCACGCTATACATCCCAAAAAAGAGGAAAGAAAAGAATTGCAAAGAATTGCGGGGTGGGCGTAGCGTGTCTCTAAAGTGGATAAGCGCGATGAAGCGAGAGGGAGACATGCGCACGCGAGCGCGCGCGCCTACGTGCTTGCGGGTGCAAATTCACAAGAAACAACGACACAGAACGAACACAAGGACAGACACGACCAACCTTATCACTACTCACACTGCCACGGGAGCTGGAACGAAGAAGTGGATCCGATTCGGGATAGTAACCACCCGAACGCTTTTTCTTCGTCTTTTTCTTCTCTTTCTTTTGTGATTCTTCGCCATCGAGCTCTTCCCATCGGATTTTCCATGACATTGCGGCTAGTTCTTGTTCGAGCTTGTATCGCCTGAAATTCATGTATCGGCATGATTGCAAAACAGAATTTTTTTGTGAGGTCCGAGAAGGAACGCAAATTTCATCTCGAAGAATAAAGTAGGACACTCAAGTTTTACCGGCTTCAACATAGGATTTTAAGTTTTAATTGGCAAAAATAAAAAAAAAATCGACTAGCATCGTAAATGGGCGATGTCATGATTCAAATTTTTTTCTTAGATTTATTTGCAAATGTGATCTCGAGCGAGGTCACACCTTGAGTAATTTCATGATAGAGCTTCAATCTCCAAGCATCATTCTCATAGGCCGCAATAATAAATCAAAAAATAATAAATAAATAAATAAATAAATAATTAAATAAATAAATAAACTCACCGCCAGAAGAACACAAACAGCAGCGTCAACAAGAGTATAAGACCAGCAGATGCAGCCAAAAGATATACATGCAGAGGATATCCCTAAACGAATCATTTTGAAAAAAAATATTGAGAAAACTTCAAAGAAAAGATGGAATCATTAATTAATCTCCTTATCAGTTCAATTTGTAAAGCATTACTCCACAGCTCAATAGAAACTGGCGAAAAAAGGAAAATAAATATATTTTTTCTGACAAAAAGAACTAAAAATTCGGGAATGGAATGTGGAAAAAAGCTAACCTTGGGGCATTTGCTGTTATCATAACCACAGATTGGTGAATCTGCTGGTGGCTTGCCACCAATCCAATGGAAATCGGTCACTTTCTTCAGCTCATTTGACGCTCCAGAGTAGTATGCAACTTCCTAAGATTTCATAATTTGCACGCTTAGGCGTTACCGTACTCCTACAGAAAAAGAACAGACAAGTTCGTAATTTGTACTCACCACAAATTTATCCACGGCTGGATCCAAATCAAGTAGGGAATAATCCGAATATCGATCGCCATTTGAATCTATTGAAACATTACCCGTGATGCCTGTGAATTACACAAGTTTAGGATTAGACACATCAAAATTACAGTATCCGTTACCGTACCATCGAATGTTCGTCCCCACATTTTGCTAGTGATGTTATGACCATTCCTTGGATCCATGCCAGCTGTGATCGTCTCATTCAGCGCTATTGCATATAATAGCACCGCATCGTAGAAGGCACTTATAAAGTTGTTCATCTGAACGAGAAAATCGATAATTTTGATCGATATATCCATTAGATACGGGTCATCTAAAATTCAGCTCTGGAGTATCAAAAATAGCATTTTTTTGTCTAAATATCTAAAAAATAAATCTATTCAGGTTTTTTCAACTAGAGTAGAGACTTACTTCATACTCTTTTCCTGTTATCCGTGAGTAGTCATATTTTTCTTCGGCTCTAATTTTCACCCGTGTTTCGAAGTTCTTGTACTCCTCCAAATCGCTTCTAAATACAATTTTAAGTTTTTTCACTAGAATAAAGACATTTTTTCATGAACATTCTCAAACAACAAACGACCTATACTTGTTGATTTACACTTCGCTTACACCGAATCCCTGAGATTTTGACCCCCCCCCCCCTCCCTCCCCTCCATCTCCCCACGTAGTGCTCAAGATTTGGGATTTTTCCCCTCCACTCCCCCCCCCCCTCCCTGTGCAGTGCGAACGTCAAAAAAGATGTCAATATGCACATTCACGATTCTAGTGAAAGGACAAAGGGCATGTTTTGCTATTCACACCTTGACTATTTATGCACTATGACGCTTTTCTGACATTAAGCAGGCTGTGGTTTCTTCGAAAAAATAAAGTCTAGAATCTAGACCTATAATCAAACGCTCTTATTCGGAGTGATATTTCAATAGCCTTTTGATGTATTAAAATGCTTTTACCCCTTTTAATCTCTCCCTGCTTTCCCCTGAATGTAAGCAATTCCCTCACCACAGCGCTCTTCTGCATCATCAGCTGCGTTATAAATACTTCAAGAGATTCAATATGCAAGTATCCATAAGCCGAAAGAGCAAAATCTAAGAGGGCAGGAGAAAAAACAGCCTAGTCAGCTTCACATCCATATCCGCTTAGATGTACGAGAGAGTCACAGGATGTACAAGTATCAATTTAGTCCAGTGACAGAAGTTACTAATAAGGTCACATATTTATTCCAAATACTTCAAACTCAACCTGCATATATTATTATGCGTCATTTACAATTATGTAGCAATGACGGTCCCCGATGTTTCTGATGAGGACAGAGTATTTGCGAACCAAGTATGATGTCAAAGTTTCAAAGCTCGCACTAATTATTATAAAAAACTGGACTATCTTAGGATACATTCAGAGTTGCCCGTGCCAGCGCCGTTCCACGCCGTGCAGGCGCCAGGGACGCGCTCCTATTGATCGATCCGCACGCACGATAATAGCACGGCACTGACACAATGCCGGCACTCGAGCGATTTTGGTGCTGCTAACTAGCACAAGAAGAAATACCACATTGATAGAAGGAACTGGGGACCAGTTCTCGCGTACATCACCCCATTTTTTAATTACTCAACTCGTAGCTCAGAATTGTGATATTGAAAGAATCACAAACCTCCGCAGTGATATCGTTTTTAGCGCCCGATATGCCTCTTTTGCTTTCTCGTTTTCTTCCTGATTTGTTTCATTTGCTCTAACCCATGGTTTTTCGGCATGAGACCTAAACATAGGCAAATCAGGAAACGTGCTGACTACTGACACACAAGCTCGTGCACTTGATGACTAGAATACTTGATTTTGCATGAGTCAAACGAATTTTCGGCTTTTGAACTCAGGAAAGAACTAGTTTTTAGCTGCAGGAAAACAGTGACATCACGTGAATATTTACTTGGGCGTGTCTGTCTGCATTTGCGGCCTCTGCTAAAGAAGTTGGAGGTCAACTTACCCCGTAGAGACATCGATGTTGATGAACACATAGTCACCCGATGTCGCCATACCAAGTTCGTGCGCAGCAAGCATGATTTCTCGTACCGTATCCGGTGAAGCACATAGTATGATCACTGAAAAAAATCAATCGATAATCGATCTAATTGGTCGTGATTTTGGACAAAAGCTTTTGTAATTGCTTGTGGTAGTTTTTCTTGAGAAGCTAAATCAATAGAAGGAAATGGACAAGGGACGTTCAGGGTTATTTGTTTAAACTTTCAGTTCGCAGCAGGAAATCCAGAGGAGGAATTCATGGATTGGATAACAAGGTACAAGGTCAGGAATTGCGTCAGAAGACAGAAAAAGGGCTGAAAAGGTCGAAGTTGGTGCTGTTTTAGGCCAATATAGTGCAAGTCCAGAGAGGGAAATGAAACACTAGAATGGAACTGAAAATGAACGCTTCACGAAATATTGACAAGAGTCTTTGCATGTAAAGTGAATGCTATGACATCAAGAAGCAAATATTGGGATTTTCAGTCGAAAACAAGCAACTAGCAAGGCGGATGTAACGGTCGCCTGACCGGGTAGAGGCTCCTGACCAGGTCGCTACTCGTTCGGGCAATCTCAATGTGGAAATTGGCTCCTGAATCTCAACAAAAAAAATTACTGTATAAATTTGCAGTTTCTAAAAAAACAACTTAGAGGACTGATTATTAGGTGTCACCCAATTGGGTGATTGTTTTCGATAATGAAAAATCGTCCAATTTACTGCGCTGGAACTAAAGAAAAAATTTGTTAAATAATAAATTAAGAGCAAGATTTTTTAGAGTATATGATCAAAAACTTCTCAGTATCATTCGTTTTAATGGACAAATCAAGCCCTTAGGCCTCGGACAGAGTTCACGCGATTTCCATTCATTTTCATTTCACATTCAAGAATTTCGGGCTGGAAAAGTACAACCGAAATGCAAGCTGGTTGGCATGCAATGAACTCGTAACAGTTGTCTTGTCGCGATTGAATCGCAACGATTAAATCGCGTGAACTCTGTACGAGGCCTTACGCTCACTGTTACATTTTATTCTGTGATAGTACGCAATTACACCGCTCAATCAATGGTATTTAATGAACAAAATAATATTTTTTATTCCACACCTTTTCCCCTAGGGATGTGAAGCCGTTTTCTCCTCCTTCCTTTCGATCAATCTTTCCCACAGCCCAACCCTAAGATTTCATGCATATGTGTCGATTTTAGAGCCCCTGAACGGATAAGCAATTCCAAGCCGCATTCATTATTTATAGCCAGCAGTCAGGGGGCTCAGCTTGAAAGCATAACAACCCCCTTACGATAGATTTCTTTTGCTGTTGGAGTGTGCATGAACTCTAGTACAAAGGGAGAGAATGTGTCTGAGGCGCTAGATTGTGCTGTCAATCAAAGGACAAGGCGATAAGGACGAATTTATAATGCGCTTCTTAACAATTCTAGAAATCTTTGCATAAAAAGATGTAACGAATTTCAAGACTTTTTTGAAATAAACATTCTGCGAAAAATTCAAAAAATTTCCATTCCATGTCGCCGCTTTTCCATGCTATAAAACCTTCATTTTTATGTTTGTGCGTGGTTGCTGACAGCTGTACACCGTCGATTTATCGCTGTCATTCCACCATATGCTGAAATTTCCATCAGCTTATATCGAACACACTCATAAATTCGCGTCATGACCACCCATATCCCTGAATCAGGGGGAAACCTACTTCAGTTCTTTCGCTTCCGACATATTATGGGGCAGTAGATCCGATTAGATTATGGGCAGCACGAGGCACAGAATGAGCGCATAAATTTCTTCTTTGTTGATTTATGGCAGCTGTTTGGAGCAAAATAGGTAAATAAACTCGTCAGGAGCAGTAAGTGAAAGTACGTAGGAGTGGGGAGGGGGGGGGGGGGGTGGAGGAACGGGACCAAAGCACAACGATTTAAGATGGGTAATTTTATGATCGGTAATGAGTCCTTTTCCCCTATACACCTCTGTTCAAATTACTTTTTACACAATAAGAAAAAGATGTTCACAACGCAATACAACCATAACGACACATTTAACGAGCAAAACTACCGTAATCTTGTCTCAAGTGTACCTTAAACTGCGACTTTTATGCAATTTTTAAATGCATTTCCTGCAGTGGCGTATCTAGTGTTATCAGTTGGGGGGAGGAGGAGGGTGGGGGGGGGGACGCGCGACAATTTTTTTTCAAATGAAGGTGCTTTAGCCATGCTGCATCTGCAGGCAAATTCTTTTTGAGGGCCCATGAGCCCGAAATTTCTTGAAAAGAACGCATGACGCTTCCTCGCCTTTGAAATTTTTTTACAAGACTAATCAAAAAATTTTGACTATTTAAATTATTTACAAGTATAAAAATTTATTTGCACATCTCTCACTCATGTAAGTTAACTTCAAAAATTTCGCGACCAATTCTTGGGGAAGAAGGGGAGGGGGAGGGCTCATTACGCCACTACCATCTTGTTTTGGACAACGACTGAAAAACAGCGTCATGCCCTTGTCAGATATAATAACCGAACAATATTTGCATCTTTCAAAAAGAGGAGGCTGGGGGTCTAATGTTTACAGCAATAATTCAGTACAACGGGCACATGTCAACTTCAAAGTACATCTATACTTGAACCCAAAAGATAAGTCTTGACGTGTTCTATTGTTGTTTGGAAGCAAAGAAGAATGGGGAGGGGGGGGGGGTAGGGGCAGTAGCGAACGAAACCGATGAAAAAAGTACAAAGAGAAATTTAGTAGAGCAGCCTCTCCTACTTGTCCCCCTCCCACCTCTTGGCTAAAATATTCGTACAAATACTTCAGCTACGTCACTCAAGCGTCAACTACCCTGGCGAGCGCTCAATTCTCAAATCCCCATTGTTTTCGCAAATTCAGTGCCATCGCCGACTCTCTCCCCCCCCCCCCCCCCAATTTAGCCTCCGCTTCATCGACTTGCTCGACGACCCCTTTCCGTTAGACCACCTTTCCATAGTAGCGTTTTTTCAATTGCTGTGATGTAAGTACGAGTTTTCGCAAGTACTCCATTGTTTGCATAGAAATAAAGCTGTCTCTCTGATCTGTGGTGGGCCACAACACATATGGAAAACTGGTCCAAAAGATTAGTGCAAAAAATTGGCTACTTGCGAATGCCGTGCCAAACTACAACTCTGCTTATGCTATAAATAATTTAAGCGCATGCCCATGTTAAACCAGTGCGGCATTTTGTTGATGGTCCAGGCTTTCCGCTCTCCTTTTTTCGCCTCGTCATAGATCTGAAACGCTGGAGAGCAGCTCCGGAAACTGCTGAATGCACATGGGAATTCAAGACACACGAAGTCTTGACGCGAATAGATTGGAAATGCATCACGCTAAGAGAGTTGCAAGAGTCGACGTCGTTTAAAGAACTTTTTTGAACGCGAGAGATTTTAGACGTACTTTGAGCTTTCGCGCATGTAACTGCACTAGTAATCATCTCGTAATCCAGCTGCCTGAACTATGTATTATAGAAATGTCGACAAACGTATTTGAGAAGGAAATTACATACAATGAATATAAATTTTATGATCATTATTTCACTCTAACCAGACAAGGAAAGTTTTCTGAAAATTTTACCTTTCCTTAGAACAATGAAGCCAACCCATAAACTACTGGATTGTAGCAAAAATACCTTTGAAATTCATTTCAAATGTTATAATTCCAACACAGTTTGAACAGCCTGGTATTTATGTCGTTGGAGAAACTCAATTTGCAGAGATTTCACAATTAGATTTGCAAATGGGGCGGTAGAGGGCGGGAGGGGGGGGGGGGAGAGAAGGACAAGCACCTCAAAATATAAAAAAAAATCATATACCTTCAACCCAAACTATCTATCCCTCGAACCAACTAATCTCAAGCTATTTTCGTAGCGACTCCTCCACTTCTGCAACGGTTCTGCAAATGCACACAATGCCCCAAATTAGGCTTGGAAACCGTAGAAAAAAGTTCTCTGCAAGCTGTTCGCAAAGCTTCAAACTTGTCCTGGAAGAGTTTTGCAGAGCTCCAAATTTGCCTTAAAAAAGCTGCAAAGCTCCAAAGCTGCCTCGAGAAGGATTTGCAAAGTTTCAAATCCTCGCTTTAACTGCAAGCAAAGTTCTCTGTTTTTATTTCCCTAGTATAGGACTGATATGTATGTATATGAACAGCTGGTACAAAATGAACAAATGCTAGCGCCGGAACTGTGTGATAGAAATCAACGGATAACTTCCACGCAAATTCATGTTTTTATTCTCACCTACTGCACCAGTAGTGTAACGCTAAGGAGCATTTTAGAGACTTTTCCTAAAAGTCTAGGAAGGAAGTTGAAAATTTGCAGTTCTCGACAGACTGGTGAACTTTCTCAACCACTAACAAAAACTCCACTACTTAGAACATCAGCGAGGGTCTAGATCAGAAAAATTACTTAGCTCTCTCTATAAAAATTTTGATAAGAGCCGACCTGGGGTGTATCGGGTGAGGGAGGAGGAGAGGGAGAGGGGTAGCAAACAAAACTTTGTGCGTAGCCTATGCTCTTGAAACCACCTTCGATCCCTCTTTTTGCCTCTTAAGCCAAGGCCTAGCTCCACGTGGAAGCTATTTCTGTTCGACGAACTTTCCTTTTCTGCAACATTCTGCAAATGCACACAGTGCCGTCATTAGGAAAAGACGACTCAAAAAGCCGCTGCAACTTGTCTGCAAAGCTATCCGCAGCGCGAAGAAGCATGCAATGCTCCAACTGCGCGGAAAAACGAAATCTGCAAAGCTCCGAATTTGCGTTGGGAGTTGGTTATGCGAGCAAATCCGTCGGCGCAAAGTCAATCAACTTCAAGCTGTCTAGTTTTTAGCTTTATTTATGGCTATACGCTTGGTTGAGCAGTTAAGCATGAGTCTGCGCTATGAGTAGTATCATGGATATTTGGTACAAGAAATCAAAGCAGCAGCAAGACTTGATTGACTTTCTTGATGAAAACTAGCTTTCCAAAGAATGTAGCAGATGTTTCTATGGACCTGCTCTTTTTTTGGCTGGAGTAAAAAAGCTTACCGCGCTTCTAGAAAAAATAATAATCAGAGGGGGAGGAGA